CTCCAACTCTAATAAAATGCTCCTCAGATTTTACACCCATCACCACCACCACCACCACCACCACCACCACCACCACCACCACCACCACAAGCCAACAACCACAACAAAGGAAAAAAGGAGAGAAAAGGAGGGAAAGAAGGAGAGACGGAGGGAGGAAAAAATAAACTAGCCAGGCACCCAGGAGGTAGAGGCAGGAAGATCAGGGGTTCAGGGTCATTCATGGTTGCATAACAATTTTGAGACCAACCTGGGCTACATATGGAGACCCTGCCCCACCCCACCCCCCAAATATAAAAGAGAAACAAAATGGTTTAATTACAAAGAGCAGAAAGCAAAAGCTTAATTCTTTTCCTACCACCATTCCTTAACATGTGTCTTAGTTAGGGCTCTACTGCTGGGAAAAGACATGATGACCACTCTTAGAAAGGAAAACCTGAACTTAGACACGTCCCCATTGTCTATATTTTATTGATATATAAATCCAGGACACATCAAAATTTCTGAGGAAAAGTAATGGTGAGGGGGAAGGTTCAAGAACCTTGCTATAAGAAGTTCATGCATTAGAAGTCATGTTCCTTAGGTGATGCATTCAATCACCAGGAGGGTTCGGAGGGTATTAGTGGATCCAGGCATGTCCAGCCTTTTGACCAGAACACAACATTGAAATCTACAAATAAGGCAGGCTAGAAAGGCAACTCCACTGATTTCTCGCTTTAGGCAGACAAAATGGGGAGAGGATAAGAGGAAAAGCCCCTAAACTCGAGCATCTGATTGACACCTCTCATTAGCAGCTGAACAAGAATTCCTGCACAATTCACAATTGCTTATGGCCACCTGCTTTCCCACTCACGAGCCTGCAGTTTTCTAGGACTCCCACCAGAAACCCTACTTACAGGGAAATGATGTGCCTTAAACCTCTGTGCAATCCTAGTAGCTCTTGGTTTTACCTTATCGGATTATAATTTCATCCGAGGCATGCCCAGAGCCACTTCATGTATATCTCATATCAAAAAAAAGAGGGGAGTAAAAACGATTTAAGTAACCTTTGGTTTGAAAGCCATCAAAATGGCATCTATGGGTAGTATGAACTGCTCACTCTCTGAGAAGTCCATGCTGCATTTAGATGTGTCTTGCTTTCTGTGACTGTTTTGAGAGGCCCAAACATGTACTCTCTGATGTGTTTGATTTCTTCTGGAGTGTCTTTTTTTTTTTTTTTTTTTTTCATGCTTAAGTTGTTCTAAATATATCTTTAGTAAAACTCCCAACTTGGCTTCACTACATCA